GGAGAGGAAGAGAGGAGAGGAGGGGGGAAGGGAGGGGAGGGGAGGAGGGGGAGAGGAGAGGAGAGGAGAGGAGAGAGGAGGACAGGGGAAGGGAAGGAGGAGAGGAGAGGGGAAGGGAGGAGAGGGGAGGGAAGGGGAGGAGAGGGGAGGAGAGTAGAGAGGGAGGGAAGGGGAGGGGAGGAGAGGAGGAGGAGAGGACAGGTGGAAGGGAGCAGAGGAGGAGAGGTGGAGGAGGAGATGAGAGGAGGAGGGGAGGAGGGGAGGAGTGCTGTGCAGGTTACCCCCCCCTTGCTTTCTAAACACCCCCAGACATGAGGGAGGGGTCTAAGCTGAGGCAAACCCTTCCGCCCAGCTCTGGTCAACAATGGGAAATGATAAAAGGAAACAAACACTTTTACACATACACACACACACATACACACACACTCCCCTAGGCAAGCCTGTGCAATAAAGCAATATAGGTTTACCTTATCTTCAGCCCTCCTGAGTATGCAGGAACCAAGTGAAGGCAACAACAACAACAAAAAAGAAAAAAACTAGTTCCTGTTTAAAAGCTGTAGTGAAGAGTCAAGAAGGGGGGAAGCACCTCCAGGAAACCCCAGAGCGCGCTTCGTACCTTCCGCCTTCCTGAGCCTCCCTAGGACCAGGCACCCCTCCTGCAAATCTGGCTTGCCAAAAATGCTGTGCAAGTTCTGAGGTTTTGCTTGATTAAAAAAAATACAGGAAACCAGAGGTTGCCTTCAAGCTTTACGATTTTACTCAGCTGAACAATAGACGGGCTTCTCTAAAAGAGAGAAAAAGCCCCAAATATCAGAAAAGCCTTATTTTTATACCTTCTTTGATTACATAAGCAATTCACCTAGCAAAGCTGACACACATAAAATAAAGACTTCGTCCCGATCAACAGGAGGAGAGGGGAGGGGAGGGGAGGGGAGGGGATGAGAGGAAGACATGTGACCCTTTTATCCTGATCTCACAATTACAAAAACACTTTTTTATCTAGAAGTCAGAGAGGCAGGCTCTGACCTTAATAGCTCGTGATTACTAAACTATATGAAGAAATTTCCTGAAGTAGAAATAGACTATGGAGTGGATTAACTATGGATATACAAATGAATGCATAAATTGGCGAAAGTAAGTAACAGTGGAACCTTCTGTTGTAGTGGCAAACTTCCTTCTGAATTATTTTGGCTGAACCAAGTCAGCCAAAAGCCCAGCATTCGTCCAAAGTACCTCACCTGATCCAAAAGATTTATGCAAAGACAGGCAAGATCCCAATAAGAATTTGCATGGTAAAAATTAGATCCATAACAAATTAATTAACTAATAATGTTCATGCCCTTTCATTATACTTCTGACCTGCTCTGTGAAGTGGCTACCACGGTCTTCCTAACGCAGTGGTTCTCAACCTTTTTAATGCCGTGACCCCAACTGGTCGTAAGTCGAGAACTAAACCGGTCATAAGTTGAGGACTAAACCGGTCGTAAGTCGAGGACTACCCAACCGGTCGTAAGTCAAGGACTTTCCCTGCCCGGGAGCACCGCGCATGCATGGTTCCGCCCCCTGCGCCGGCCGAGGCGTAGCTGGCAAGTGGCAGAGACGGAGCAGGCCGACCACCAGCTGGCCCAGCTCAAGGGAGGTAAGGCACCTGCCGGAAAAGGGGGGAAAAAATGGCGGACAAAAAAAATGGCGGACAGCCTTGCTTGGCGACCCCCATGAAATGGTCGGTCGACCCCAAATGGGGTCCCGACCCACAGGTTGAGAACCACTGTCCTAACGAGAGACCCAGCTTTGAACATTCAGTAGAACACAGCATGCTTGTTTGAAAAAGTTTAGGCCAGTTTTTTTCCCACCTCACTGCTTTCCAGATATGTTGGACATCACCTCTCAGTACTCCAAAGGTGGTGGAAAATCCACTCTGACACATCTGGTGGATACCGGTTTTGGAAATACTAAATTATATCTGGAGAATAGTTATTCAACTTTGCTCTCAAGGAAAGCTAACCATTTCTCCTAAAGACTTTTATTTTTTAAAAAGAGAGAAATTGGGAGTGAGGATATGTTCACTTTTGAATTATGGAAAACTCCATGAAACTTATGGGCTTCATTCGTCTCACGTGTGGGATAACTCCAAGTTAAAGAACAAACCCTTATTTTCATGATGGCCCTGGTCTGAAAACCTGGTACATCAAGAACAACCAAGTGTTGGCTTACTGGTGCTAGATGACAGCTCCGCACAGTGCTCCTTATTTCCATGGTTGTCTGGCTGCTTTGGCATCCAGGCGTCGTAGTTGAAGGTGGATTCATCAGCCCATCTCCATCGCCCTTTCTGTTGCCGAAAGACAGACCATGATCACAGATTAAGAAGATAAGTAACCTCTTGGGATCATAAGCTACACCAATTAGCTAGAAAAGCTGAGTGGCGGGGAGCTTTTAGATACTGGCTACAATGAAGAAGTTCAAACATTCTCCCCAAGTTGTCAAGTGACATTTTTTGTAGCACACGTGCAACAAAATAAAAATAGCAAGGCATCATATCCTGACCAATTCATGACAGTGAAATTTTATACATGGTTGCATCGAACATTCAGCTCTATGAAATTTTAGATTGCCAGAGGTAAATTTTGTTAAATATTTTGGGCTATTGCAACCACTCTTCTCCCACCGTTCATATTTACCTGAAAAGTAGAGTTGGAAGGCCGCTTACAATGAACTTTTGTTATTATACTGTCAGGATGAAGTGGTCCCCCCTTCAGAAAAAAGGGTGGGAGTGAAATACTTAGCACTTCTATTTGGTCCGAGTTTAGAAGCCTTCTTGATATCACTTCAGTCACTGTAGGGTGTGGACTAATTGAGGCCTAAAGCTAAAGAAAGCTTGGGAGGGCCCAATGTGAAAGAGATGCACCAGAAATGCATCTGAAATCTAAACTGTAACTAAACAGGATCGTGGGACAACCCAAAACACACAGACAGATATCTTTATGTATGTGTCAACGCTGCAAATACTGTATATTCTTGCTTTGACAATATGCAGAACTGTCTGGTATTTTTAGGGTTAATGCAGAGCAGAAGAGGGTGGGGGGGAAAAGCCCGGGAAAGAAAGAGAAAGGAAACCTTTGACCTTCACACTAATTGGATAACGTGATATATGACAGCTAATTTAGGGAGAGAACATGCTGATAATTTAACTGCTCAGAGGAAGAGAGTTTCAGATCTTGAGAGAGAGAGAGAGAGAGAGAGAGAGAGAGAGAGAGAGAGAGAGAGAGAGAGAGAGAGAGAGAGAGAGAGAGATCCCTAGACTTTAATAGTAAGGAATGTAAAGTGAAAAATACAAATTATTTTCAAAGGAAGGCATATGCTGATTATATATTTGCCATTTGGCTGGTTTGATCACTCTCATAGATTATAACAGCATACCTTGCAAATAAGATTAAGATAAGAGAAATAAGATAAGAGAAAAAGGGGAAAATAAATCTCTTCATCCCGTATCTCATCATATATCTATGAGGAAATAATAAAGTTTCATGATTCAATCTTAATGAGTTGGTATTTTTTTCCCTTCTATTTTTAAACAACAACAAAAAATAGATTTTAACACCTACAGTACATAGAAAGTGCCTCATAAATTTCTGAAAGCCAAAAAGAACAAATTCTGATAATTTGTTAAGATTGTGCACTCCTCAAATGTTGCTTATTTAGTTTGTGCCTAAATCCAGCACTGACTGCAGTTATGAACATCAACAAACAATCTTAGGGTTTTGATTTAATATCTAGGATTTAGAGGTATAAGGGAAATGAAAATTAGCCATTAGATTATAGTTTTGAATTGTAATATGAAAGTTGGTCTGTGACAATAAAAGATAGTTTATTAGTAAATAATGAGATATTAGGATGAGGAATAGAATATATTTGTGGAATAAAGTAAGGATGTAATTAACTGAATAATATCTGTATTTTAGATACAATAACTATTTTGTAATGAAATTAGGAAAACTTGGGTTACCCGAAGTCTAAATATTATGGATATTAAAGGTTAAATTGGAATATGGTAATTGAAATTAGATAAAATTTAAAAACAGGACCTGGATATGTATAAGTTAAATTATATTGACAAATGTATTGATTGATTGAGCTATAATTAGAAATGTACTAACTCGAATGTGATATAATAATTAAGGGAAACAGAGGGAACCTTTAATGATATAACCTGAGATAGGTATGAAAGACTCTGTTATTGGACTATTGACTACCCAATCACCACGCTGCTTCCTAAATATCTGAATGTAAAATTGAAAAATTAATATTTTTTTAAAAAAAACAACAACAACAACAATCATGGGTTCCTAGCAATACATTATTCTCAGCAGGTAGCTCACCCAAAATAACAGAAGTGGGTGTATAAAATTACTGCGTAAAGAGTGCAGTGGGGAAAAAATGAAATGAAAAACGTCAGACTCACCCCAGAGACATCACGGAGTCCCATCCAGACATGGCCTTTTTTGTTCTGTTTGTCTTTGACGTATGCAGACACCAGCGAGGACTCTTGGTGGCTGAGAATAGAGGCGAGATGACATCCTGGACCAAAGCTTTGGCACTCAAGCTAAAAACAGAGGCAGGACAAGAAAATGGCATGTCGTGATCATGAGTGGGAGTGTTGCAGACTTTAAACCTTCCACATCTCCACTTGTGCAATTTTGGTTTCTCAAGAAACCTTTGACCACACCTGGGCTGGTGAAAAAAATGATTCTTACCTCAGCAGCATCCCAAGTTAGTTTCCTATCAAAATATCCATAGCAGTTCCCCTGTTTCTGCAGCCAGTCTCTGTTGCATGACGCAGCCTTGACTGCAAGGAGACAAAACGAGAAAAAAACATGCAGGTAAATGGAATAGTTTCCTGATATTCCTGAATGGGGCGTGATGGCTCAGTGGCTAAAGCTTCAGAGCTTGTCAGCTGGAAAGCTGACCGCCCAGGTTTGAGACCCAAGCACTGTGCAACAGGGTGAGCTCCCATTCCTGCTCCAGCCCCTGCCCATCTAGAGTTCAAAAGCATGCAGATGCAAGTAGATTAATAGGTACCATTTAGGTGGCAAATTAACAGAGTTCCAAGCGGCTTTGGAATATAACCACGCTGTCTACATGACCATGGAAAATGTCTTCGGACAATGCTGCCTCCCTCGGCCAAGAAACGGAGATGAAAACCATGCCTTAGAGTCAGACAAAACTGAATAGGGGAAACCTTTACTCTTTTTTATTTCTGAAGGAGACCCCTTCAGTTGGGAGCAGACATGACTGAAAGGGTTGAGGGCTGCATCTCAGCCTTTCAACTATTCGGGAGTGGAAGGAGATCATCTGCTAAATTGTCCATGGATTTCACCAATTATGAAGGTAAGCACTTTTTCTGGTTTGAGGGGATAGGATTTTAAGATGGAGCAAAAGGCTCCAGGGACACAAAATACTTCCACCTCATCATTTCAACCTTGAAGCTGGTCCAAAATCTATTTTCCAGACCAATGTCAAGGTATTCTAAGGGGCTGGGAGAATATTAAGCTTTGTTCAAAAGTCCTCCTTGTCCTATGCCCAGCCTTAAAATGTTACAAAAATCTCAAATGGACAATCCTAAATGACTAAAACCAGTGCTTTTTTCTAAAAAAAAAAAAAAAAAAANAACCCGCCTTGCCTACCCTACAAGGTTCCATCCAAAAAAGGTGCCGGAACTCCGTTCTGAGCATTCTATGACAAAAAAAGCCCCGACTAAAACTGTGCCACATTGGAACCACTGGGAAAACTGGCAATGTCTGAGGGAAAGAATTGCTATTACTATTCCTACCCTTAACATGGAAATTAAATTAAAATATGGAACTTGACAAATCGCCCTGCTGAAATATATTCATTTTACTAGTGCATCTCAGCACTACAGTTTCAGAATATTGGGACCAGCATAGAATCCCATCTGACCTGGATAAGACATAAAAATTCTGACCTGCATATTACATATGAAAATGTCTGAAGACAGAGCTTACTTATCTAAGTTGTTTGATTTGATATATATTCCATATCATTGGGGAACTCACCTTCTAAAAAGGGATTGGTGATCAAGATTCCAAGGCAACAGAGGCCGATGTACATGGAGAATCCCATCTTCTGGTTTCCCTTTAGGAGAACAGAGAAGTAGATGTGATACAAAAATTAATAAAGTGGCATTCATATTAGCTTGCTGAAAAAGAAAGCAAATTTTGAGCATCATAATTTAATTTTGATCCTAATCTACCTGCAAACTTTCTGTTGTGCTTCCTAGCATACAACTCATGAAAAGCTCTATTAATACTTCAAAAAGCCCTATCCATATTTCAATGCCGGATCACTGTATGGATACAAAGAGTATCTAACCAACACTTGTCAAGAATGCCTTCAGCCTCTCACCTTGCGAAGTTCTTCAACTGGAGAGGTTGAGTTGGTGGATGGTTGGACTGGTGGACTCTCACTTTCTGAGCAACCATTAAATAGTCTCCAGATGGGCCTGGCACAAAATCAAGATGGACAAATTTCTTCAAAGATTTCCTGGTCCACCCTTTTCTTTTTCCCCTAACTTACAGGAAAGCAAGTAAATTTCAGCCATAAAGAAAATTGGCTAATATTTCCTTAGGTAAAGAAAGAAATTATCAAAAATCAACCCACTGATTCTACATCTTAGTGAGAAGCAAACACCATGTTTTATTGGTTGTTTATCATATTTACTTGATTTCTTCATTCTATTGGTTTTAAGCGTCATAGTTTCTAGCCACTTACCGTATGTCAAATGTTCTAGCTTATGTTACATCAAATATTAGCACAATTGAGGAAGATAACTTTTTGCAGAAACACCAACCTTTCCCTCAGATTTGCCCTGAGAAAAACACACTAAACTTCCTTTTATGTTGTTTTTTTGTAAATTTTATTAAAAGTTTTACAAGGAACATAAAAGCTAATGCAAGCTAATAAAAAGCAAAAGAAGCAAAGATAAAAGAAGGAAGAAAGAAGAAAAAAGACAAACAGTGCAAAAAGACTGGACAAAACAATAGAGAAAAGAAGCTTTCAATTTCTTCTGCAGCAAATATTATATTTGCAGTTTTGACTCTTACTTTATGATTAGGGAAAAAGACCCCCTTTTTCCTGCAGTCTAGTGTTTTCTAATCATGAAAACCACAAATAACAAGTGTATTTTTCCCACTTTCCTGCCAAAAATCTGTAAGGGGTTTCCAGTCCATAAATATAGACATTTTTTTCTCTAATCAAAGAAGCTAGTTTAGCCATCTCTGCAAGTACCATCATCTTACCAAACATTGCTCCATTATGAGTAGTTCCAAACCTATTCCACATTTCAGCATATAATAATTTCACTCTAGCTTGCTTCCATTTTTGTCAGGTACTTCAGTTTTCATAATATTCATATCAATTAACCTATCAAAACTAGTGCCATAAAAAATAGAATACTGTAGAAACACAAGTTAAGATAGGCAAGAAAATGATGTGAGCACCTGTCAAACCTAGACGAGTTCAAATCGCCAGGGCCAGATGGATTACACCCCAAGGTTCTCAAGGAACTGGCAGATGTAATCTCAGAACCACTGAACTATATTTTTCAAAGATCCTGGAGCACAGGGGAACTACCAGAGGAATGGAAAAGAGCTAATATAGTTCCCATCTTCAAAAAAGGGGAAAAAATGGACCCAGGAAATTACAGACCTATCAGCCTGACCTCAATACCTGGGAAGGTCCTGGAAAAGATACTCAAACAATGAATCAGCGAACACCTAGAGGCAAAGTCATTACTAAAAGCCAACATGGGTTTGTCAAAAATAGATCACGCCAGACAAATCTTATTGCATTCTTTGACCAAGTGACAAAATTAGTGGATGAGAGGAATGCTGTGGACATAATTTACTTGGACTTCAGTAAGGCATTTGATAAAGTAGATCACAACGGTCCTCAATGGAACCGCACCTACATGGAGGGAAGTGTGTAGTGGGGTGCCCCAGGGCTCTTTTCTGGGCCCAGTGCTCTTCAACATCTTCATCAACGATTTGGACGAGGGGAGAGATGGGGAACTTATCAAATTTGCAGATGACACCAAGCTGGCAGGAACAGCCAACACTCCAGAAGACAGGCTTAAGATACAGAAGGATCTGACAGACTTGAACACTGGGCACTATCTAACAAAATGAAATTCAATGGTG